TTTTTTATTTATCTTTGTAATTTCTTCGTTTTCTGGTACTTGCGGTGCTAACTTGATGTCCAGTTGACCAATAGTTTATAGCAAGGTCAAATGAAGAGCGACATTTTTTGCGTAACAAATTAGCAACAAAAAGCGACAAATTTTGAGTTTAATTCCATTTTTTTTTAACTTTGCCGTGTAATTTTACGGACCTCGTGAGGAGGAGGCCCGGGAAACTAACGTTTGAATATATACGAAAATGCAGAACTGCGAGCTCAATTTCTCAGAACACTTTTAAATTTTCGAGGAACTTTATAAGTAGAGACCGGATATTTATGTAATTACATATTTTTTGTCTTTCTACTTACCGATCTAAAAATTTTAATTTTGCCGAATCGTCGCCGTCCTAACACAATATCAACATTTTTCGTTACATATTTTTACACATTTAGTACTATATTACATATTTTGCTAATTTCACAAAAAAAAATTATTCTATGAATTTTTATCAATTTTATAACACATTTTTATGAAAAGAAGTACTTAAAAAACTTATTTCCTACATCGTTGCCCACTCGAGGTTCGCCACATGAAGACGCGGTAGGATGTTCTCACAGTCCTGCTCGTCTGCATTAGTTATCTCAGTGGCGGGAAGTGCACGTCAGTGACTGAGATCAGTTTCACCCTCAGGTGTGAAAAGCATCACACCGCCCCTCGTCTCGTGAACTTTAACCTTAATTTCCGAAAAACTTTGCCGATTATTGACATGTAACTCTTCGCTGAGTATGCTACACGCTGCAGTGATAATTTGCTGGTTGTAGATATCGCCAGCTTGTAGGATGGTTTCTATTGTGTATAGTCTGGCTGCTAAACGACCGTACTGAATAGTAGTAGATGAAGGTTGTACAACTGAATGGAAAGTTGTATGGTACAAAGCATGGATCAATTTGTACTGTTCAAATTATTTTTAAAACGTTTGTATCACTTTAAAAAAAACTTTTTCGATATCAGAGGTCTCCAAAACATGCATTTTGTTGTTTTGTTGAAAATCTCAAAATCGATTTTCTGCATCTTATAACTGTCTCTATACTACATATATTACTCAGTATACAGGCACGTATACGAGAATGTAAAACCAAAGTTGTGATGCGGAAAATTGCGAAAGGAATAATTGATAAATCGCAGTCGGGCCACAAGAGAACCGCCTGCTTGCCTGCCTCGCTCCCAGCCCAGCTCTCTTATCTCTTACGGAATGCTTCCGTGCCCCTCGAGTCGGCGCCCCCACGCGCGGCATGGGGAAGGGGGGCATTGTATTTTGCCAAATTTCACTTTACGACGCGCCTATTCAGTCGATTTGGACGATTGTTGAGATTCAGGAAGTACTTCACCATCGCGCTATAAGCCCACATTTGCAAATTTCTTCCCAAAATTATTCAAAAAAATTTCCAAAGCTCATTTTTCATTTTTTTTTCTTTCAAAGAGGCTTCGTAACTTAAATTGTATATTAAATACAAATCCAATGTCGTTTACTGATTGGAAATTGGATCGCTTGTTCAGACGTTATTAGTAAAGTAATTTTGGCTTATTTTGGTACTGCTACGTGGTGGTGACAAATTGAACTAGTGTTGGTACATTTAGCCTTAAGCTAAAGATCCTGTATGACATTATTTAAAACACATGCACTCATAAATATAATAATGTGAACAAATTTCCGTTAATATAAATATTAACGACGTGAGAAACACTCAAAAAATATATTTTTGTAATTTTTGAAAAATAAATAATAAAGCAATATGTCGTTTATGTCGTCTCATAGAGTACATTCAGCACTATCCGTATCAAAAATTTAAAGAAAAAAATTTGATCCGTTTTTGAGAAAATCTTGTTTTTGTAATCTTTTAAAATTGCAAATATTGCTTGCAATATTGCGCGAAAACAACTGAAAGTTTTAGAAAAATGTACGTGACGTTAATGAAAGAACTAATTATGGACAACAAATTTTATTTGACTTTTATTTTTTTATGGAAAAACCTCTATCTTCAATTTTATAGTTGTAGGAAGACGCCGAAAAAATCATACTTTTGAAATTTTCGAAAATTCAGAGTTAACCATGAAACTCTGACCTATGCGACTTTTATAAGTGTGTTACTCCACTCTTACAAGAAATTTATAGAAAAAATTTAAGTCGTTTTTGAAAAAATTTTGAATATGTCCTGGGGGCTTCATATAAAGTGACCCCTAATTTTAAAGGACTTTTTCAAAATCTCAAAATTCGACTTGAGGGAAATGGACAGGAGTTTCTTCAATTTGAAAAACGTCCTACGCATGATTTAGGCGCTAGTAGTGTTCACAGACGGATAGACGGACGGACGGACCTTTTGAATTAAAAAAAAAAAAGAAAGAAAAAACACCATACAACATTTGTTGCAACAATTTTTCGGTATCTGGGAACCCCAAAACGTATATTTCCGATGAAATCTCGAAATCAATTTTCGCACCATCACATAACTTTCCTGAAACTATGTATATTACTCCGGATTTATTACGTGTATGGGAAAGTAAAAATAGTTTGGAAAAAGCGGGATCAGCAGTCAGTGCGTGATAACCACTGGTTAGATTGTCAGTGAAAGATTGTCACTGATTGGTGATACATTACTGCTTTGCTCATCCCATTTATCTCTACTTTAAGAAATAAAGTTTTGGAAATTTCCAGCAAACCAAAAATAAGAAAGCTAGTTTAGTGCTCGGTAAAGAAAAGAGAAAATATTTATTATGAAGAAGTATTGGTGTTGGAAACAAGCAAACCTCATAAAAAATGTTCAAAATGCATTCCATTTGCCAATAAGGAAGCATTAACTCGCATGGGAACATTAGCTGCAACCCAATGTAAGTTTCTTCGTGAATCAGGCGAATCACTTCCTCGGTGTTTCTTTGCAGTTCTTCGATGTTATCTTGTGGGAAATTTCTTTGTTTATTTGCTTCTTCGAAATTAGCAGACCTGTATATATAAACTTTAATTTTGAGGTATCGCTTAAATGCGATTATACCTGGTGAGGACTAATCAGGCGAACGAGGGGGCCACAAACCTCGTGAAATTATTCTGTTCTCGGAAACCTCTTCCAGCAATTGCATGGACGACTTCACTTGTGATGTCGCCCCAATCTTGCTGAAATTAACACTTTTTCTCGTCCTTTTCAAGTAGGGATACAAAATCCCAAAATATTCTGATACGTATCCGCCGTTACTCTTTCTTTGAGAAACAACAGACCAATTATTCTTTGTCGAGAAATGGCACTGCAATTTTTTTTTTTTTTTTTTTACTTTCCCGTATACGTACGTATATACGGAGTAATATACGTAGTATAGGGAAAGTTATGTAATGCTGAGGAAAATAAATTTCAAGATTTCAACGGAAATGCACGTTTTTGGGGTCCCCTGTACGTGTTTTAAAAAAATATTTTAAAAAAGGTCATGAACATGTTTTTAAAAAAATTAATAGTTTTCGCACAATATTGCAAGCAATGTGTGCAATTTTTAAAAAAATACAAAAACAAGATTTTCTCAAAAACGTCTCCAAATTTTGCCTCTAAACTTTTGTTAGGGATAGTTCTAAATGCACTCTATAAGATGACATCAACGCCATCTTGCGCTATCCTTTTGTTTTTTCAAAAATTACAAAAAAATAGTTTTTGACTTGTCTCTCACGTCGTTAATATTTCCATTAGCGGCAATTTGTCTAATGTATTTATGAGTATATGTGCTGTAAATAATGTCAGATAAAGTGTCTCGAAATCTCAACAATTTTCTGTTAAAATGAGCACGAAATCATGCATTTTCAGAGGCACTCAAACACCATCTTTTTAAAAAGTCTCCAAATTTTTTCTTCAAACTTTTTGAACGACGAGTGTTAATTGTACATAGAATTAGTTTTGCAGTATTATTTTTTTTTTTCAAAAATTACACAAATATAATTTTTTGAAAGATCCTTTAACTCCTTTAACATGCACAGTTCCAGCGATTTGTAAACACTATTGTATTGTGCCTGGAAGAGCTTGAAATGACTTCTTATGAAGGCATATTGTGCAAAAGCCCTCTAGTTTACAAATGTAAAAAAATTAATGCAATATTCATCTCCATTCATTCATTTTTCAGATATCGCATCTCAAGATAAATTGAAGGCCTCAAAATTGCATATAATGCACAACATTTTGTTGTACATTGACTAATGGTTTTAAAAATATATAAATAAGTTTTTTTTATCATTTCTAGTGTAATAATATAGTAAATACATAATTTTATTATTTCAATGCTTGGTCCTTAATGGATTAACAAAGCACATTCGATTCGACAGCACTCAGTAATAATGTAAAAAAAATTCTGATTTTTTGAAAATACTAGTTTTCATAAAAAAATATGTACATGGAAGAAAGATGATAAAATAAAAAAAAAATTAGTGAAAATAGCAAAATATGTAATATAGTACTAAATATGTAATGAAAAAATTGGATATTGTGTTAGGACAGGGCTAAGATTAGTTTGGAGAATGGTAAGTAGAATAACAAAAAATATGTAATTACATAAAAATCTGGTCTCTAATGATAAGTATTGAACCTCAATAACTCTCATCTTTATCACCCAGTGTTCCTGATCTTTTGAGCAAATTTTATGATGGCCCCTAAGTGTGTTACTTGACAAAAATGTAGCTTCATTATTTCCGCATGTTTTATTGAGCTAAGTGAAGAAAACTATTATTCAAATAATTGTTCCGGTGACAATAAGTTGATTTATTTAATGTAAAAATAGTTAAAAGTTCATGACTTACTATGAGGAGAAGTGTATTCATAATTTAACTTAATACGTACCCTATGTGAATTAGGTAGGGAGCTCAGAGCTCAAGACAATGTGCACAGATTGCACTTTTTCCAATAGTAGGCCTATAGTGGACACAGTATTTACCTTTTTTTTGGACGTTAAATAAATTAAGTTGTTTTTGGTAAACCAAAAATAAATGACACTTAAATAATTTACATTTCAGAATGAATCTTCATTTTAAATCTTTTGTTTTTATTGGTTTCCTTTACAATATATACAATAGTTTTTCAATCATTCAGGTACATTATCATCATATCACTTTTTTTTTTTATAAACATAGTTCACACACTAAACTCTTCTTATGAAAAACTTGAATGAACACATGATTTTACCCACATTAAGTAGTACTCAATTTTCTTCATGTATAGTTTCAATTTCTCTTTTGGTATAAGCAGATTTGCTCTAGAAGTTCCAAACTGTTTAGAAAAAGAATTTGTCTTCTCTTCTGAATTGTTACCTTAAATAAATAAATACATAAATTTAATAGAGTATTGTATACATTCAAGCAGATCTCAGGGAGACTTTGAATCCTGAATAATACAAATTTTAATTTCTTAGATTCATTTCAATACTTACCTGTTTTCTTTGAGATGCCTTTTGCTTTCTCCAATAAATAAATTATGTCACTCAAGGCTGCTTGCAAATAGAAACTCTGATTTGATTCCTCTGGGCCATGTAAAATTTTTTGCACATCATCTCTCATTCTTGCAAGTGTATGTTCTGATCCATCAACCCAAGGACACTTCAACAAACAGGAGGGAAAATAAAATAAAACTGAACTACTTGTCCTCGTTTAAAATATAAGAACACAGTTTTGTAAAAATGTAAGTGCTGAAATATATTTACTATCTGAGGGTGAGTCTTTTAAGGAAAGTTATTTCCAATCCATATTATTCTACATCAGTTTGTCATAAAACAAAATACTCAATCGTTCAATACTATCTAAAAACTAATAAAAACACATCTTATCTATTCTTGACTGCATGAGATAAAAGTTATTATTTAGATAAGATAAACTAAATATTTGTGCACTGGAGTGCCCTAATGTGTATTGACCCTGATGGTGGTCTTCCAAGGGTACCACTAATCTACAAAAGATGTAGTTGAATTTCCTTTTTTCTATTAATGAGAATCATATACTTTCAGAGAATGGCTTTCACTTGTTTTAGAGAACTTGGCTTGGAAAGGTTTCAGCGATTTCTAATCTTTAGGAAAATACAAGATCTCAAAATACAAAGATGTTCACCTGAACTATTTCATATGCCACTTCCTCAATGGCAGACTCATAAGAATCATAATTTCGATTATCACGAAGGTTTCCACTAATTGTTATTAACAAGTCAACAGCCTCCAAGATAAAATCCATTGGTTCACCATTGAAATAACGAATCACATATGAATATGATCCAATTACATTAATAATATTCCAAGTAACACATGCAGCTGGTGGACGTTTCTGCAATAACAATTATATAAATAAACTAGAAACTTAAATACTTATAGAACTATTTACCAATATTGCAATATTTCATTTCTAAATGCACACTTACAGTAATATCTGATAATGGGGGTACATTTTTCAGAGTTGGACAGTGTGTGGTATAATCAAAAGAATCTTTGGATGCATTTTCCTCCACTATTTCAATCTTCTGTTTAGATTTCCTGACCAAAAAAAAAAAAAAAAGACATGTACACACATTTTAAAAATATTAGAAATGACTCTTCACTTGCTTTCCAGACAACCATTTTAATAATTTAGTTGTTGGGAAGAAACCAAAATATAACTTTTTTAGGTGAAACAATGTTTTATTTTTATTGTTATCTTGTTTTGTTAAAAGGACTTATTAAATCAGAATTCAGATCTTTGCTAATTCTTTAAAATACTGGTAACATAATTAATACTTTATAAGAAGACCCTACACTGTACCTCACCAGTTTTTTCTTACCTATTAATGCTAAACAATACAATAACTAAATTATTTCCAATTATACCTATTTTTTCATAATATTTTTTCTTTCTTATAAAAATAAACAACAGTTACAGCAGAAATCTTTACCTGTATGACCACCACGGTTCCCACAATGGAACAATAGACTCGGAACATCCATTTTGAACCAGATCAACAAAAGCTTGTTTTTCAGATTGAGATAATTTTTCCCATACTGAATCAGCATCATCTAAGCTCACTGATTTTAAACGTTCAGCAATATCTTCCTCATCATCAGAATCTACAATACAAATGTAAAGCTTGTGAAGTATGAGAAATGAGATATGGTAGATGAGGTACAAAAATCCTTTCAAGTCACTTGAATAAGAGGCTGTCATTGCTTCCTCCAAATGTCCACTTTTTGTTTCAGTGAATTATCCAACAACAAATTTTAAGGCCATTTTCTGAGTTCTCCTTTAGGGTATTTTAAAACTGATTATCAAATTACTTCCTCCACGAGGAGAGGACAATATTCAAATTAATATACAATGGTAACAGTGAGAAAACACTTTTATAACAACAGCATTTCAATTCAAGTGGATGAACCTGCTATTTAAAAAAAACCCTTATAATAAATAAGCCAAAATTTCTATTAACAATTATTTTTCAGGGTCTTAAAACTTCCACAGTGAAAAGTAAACAATGAAAAAGTGATGACTAATAAAATACCCAGACTGTGTTCTTCATCTTCATCATCATCATCATCATCATTATTTTCACTTGTCTGATCTTGGTTGTAAATCCTATTTAAAATATCTTTCATTTTATTTGCATCATCTTGATCATTGCTGTTTGTACTCATGTACTCGACCACATTTTCTTTGTAAAATTCTTCCGAACAACGAAGGTGTAATCGAGATTGATAACATTTGACAGAACAATACAAGAGGTTGCATCTTGGGCAAACATATTTGCTTTCGTTTATGGCACAACTGAAATTTAATAATAATAATAATTAATGTTTTGAAAGGCTTAACCTACTCATTATATTTACCGCGCTAATTTATATAAGTAACTGCTTACACTTTACAGAGATTTTGATCCATTTTATATCTGTGGCCGCAGGTGTGAATGTATTTACATGTATTTTTAATAATTATTTTAAATTACTACCAAAAATCATACTTAACACAAAATATCAATTCCTAACCATTTGAACGACGTGACTTCCGGTAAGGTTCTAATCACACGATTGTGACAGAACATGGATACAAAAAGTGTCGTAAATTCCCGGATTTAAATTCTTCTCTTCCGCAGACAACGTGAATGAGTTTCTTTCGACGAGGACCGGAATTGACATTTTATTTGTGTCATAAGTATTTCTTTTGACCACGCCAAATCATTTATGGTCACATGGGTCTCTTTCATACCACCAATCCGGTTCCACCACGAGTCGATGCCGCCACGTTTCCATCTTTCCCATTTACAAGTTTCCAACTCGTTGGCCAGTAGTATAAGTTCGCCGAGTCGTGGAGGTTGTGAAGTTGGATATCTGCAAAATGTGGCTGAAATTGTGCCTTCTACTTGTCGCTGTTTACAGCGTGCAGAGTGCCGACGATATTGAAACCGAAGATGGAGTATTAGTACTTACAACGAAAAATTTTAAGGCCGGCGTCACCGACAATGAATTTGTTCTCGTAGAATTTTGTGAGTAAATTTGTTTGTTCTGCAATTGTTGTATATATGTAATTCTTAGAGTTTGTGGTCGTTAAATTGTGATTTATTTCGCTGGACACTCACGAATTCTGCATTTCACTTATCTCTAGGGTGAATTCTTAAATTTTTAACGTTGCTGGTTGTCCATGTGGCATTGCTTATTACAGAATGAATCCGTGTGTATATAAGTTCAGTACTACTGTAAGGATATTAAACTACAAAAATTGTAGGCTTGACTTTAAATGGTAGGTATCTCGGTCGGTTGATGTCTGGGAAAGAAAGAAAATAAATTAAACATTCTCACTTATACTAGGCTTGGTTTAATCAAACTGGAATGATTGTTATAAGAAATTATGAATTATGAGACCTTGGGATTAAAATGCATCATAAAACTAATTATAAAGAGTTTATTATTGTTCCAGATGCTCCTTGGTGTGGCCATTGTAAAGCTTTAGCTCCTGAATATGCTAAAGCTGCTAAAAAATTATCTGATGATGGGTCAGATATTAAACTTGCCAAAGTTGATGCTACAATTGAATCAGAGTTGGCTGAAAACCATGGAGTAAGAGGTTACCCAACTCTGAAGTTCTTTAGGAAAGGGACACCCATCGATTACACAGGTAAGCAAATCTTTTTAACACCCTTTTTTAAAATGCTTATTAATTGCTAATTTGCTAGAACATAGTTTGTTTAATTTGTTTTATTTTGTGAAAGAATTTCCTCAAATTGTTAAGATGTGTGAATTTAATAAAACAAGTAAAACGTTTTGAAGAGTGTGTGAAAAAAATTGAAATTTTGTAGAAGCTATTATCATAATATTTCTTACTTTCTTTTGCTTTTTGTTGGTGAAAAAAAGAATTCACTTTCTCTAATAAACAGGCTCTTGAAAAGATTGAGGTCTATAGTTGTGTGAATGTATATAAATGTATAAAAAATGCAGAACTTATTAGAAATGATAATATTTAATATTTATGGCTATTTAGCTGATAAACTGAAATTTGATGTAAACAATAGAGTGAAAGTTAGCTCTGAATGGATTTAAATTATAAAATCTTCCATTTCATTTGCTCTCATTTTTGCATTAAAGTACAGTTCTCAACAAATAAAAGCACCTAACTAAATCGCTTTATGGAAGTTGGATAATGTATATTAATAAATCAATCTTCTGCACTATTGGACAAACTGAAAAGTTAAAATTAAGGGTATGGTTATTGAGCAATGTGTTAAAGTTTTCTTCGGATTATTTTTCTCTCTCCACACTATCTGGGTTTCTAATAGCCAACTACATTAGTCAAAGGTGTTGAAATGATCAAGGGAATCAAGCTAGTTAAAATGTTAAAATAATATTCTCCGGTTTAACAAGGAAAGGGGGATGGGAAAGTGAAATATGCGCTTGGTTTCCTCCTAAGAGCAAGTGTAAGTTACACTCGTGCCACTTGTTAGACAAACTACTTTATATTAAGGTCAAATTATTTTTTATCCTTCTTCGAAATGGACTGATATGATAGTGTTGTTTTCTGAAATTGATACATGATAAGGTAAGAGAAATAACTGGGAAAGAATTCTTGTCCATCATAAATCAGCCAATTTCATGTTTATGAATACAAACCAGGCTCTAAGTAAGCTAAAACAACCAACCTCAAATATGAGGAATTTTCCTAATTTCCTTCTTTCAAGTTAGGTGGAACATGAATTCATACTTTTATTCTCCCAGCTTATATACAAGGAAAGTTTTCACCCAGGTTCATGTCACCCAACCATAGAGGTAGAGGGATTTTTTAATTTCCTTCATCAAAATGAGTTGGAATATGAATTCATACTTTTATCCTCCCAGCTTGTATAAATTAAAAGGTGGGGTGGAAAAGCATGAGACAGTCTTTTAATCCCAGATGGTTTTGTGTCTGTCCAGCTTTTTACCTTCATATTAGTATATTCCCAGTTTATATGAATTGATAGACTTGGTGAAGGGTAATACACACTAAAAGCTTTTGATCCAAAATAATTTCATATTTGTAGTATGCCATATACACCTAGCTCCATATTGCCCAAACTATAGGTAAGAGCTTTTTCTACTTTTCCTGTATTTCATGAAGTTGGAATATGAATTTGTACTTCATCGTCCCAATACGAATCTTTATGTGAATTGAAAGGAGGGGTGGAGATTTGAGACTCACTGGTTTTTATTAATTCCAGATGATTTCAGATCTTAGTCTTTTTCATCTATGTTGTCACCCGACACATTTCTATGTATGAACACATGACACAGTTGAAGTGTTTAATTCCAGGTGATTTGTTTTGTAATTTACAATGGCCACCTATATTAGTTTGTCCAACCACTAAGCTCTGAGGAAGTTAGTTTTGTTATTTATTTATTTCCTTGAAGCAATTTGAAATATGTATTAGTTCTTTTGTCTTCACAACTTAAATGAATTGGAAGGTATGTTGGTAACAAGTGAAATGCTTCCAATTTTTTTGCTGTTATTTGGAAAGTCTTTTAAAAATGTCAGATAGTTTACCTGTCTATTGATGTGTTGAATAATGAGAGATAGCTAATTCATTTTTTGCTGTAAATGTTAAAAGGATCAATGTTTCTAGTAAATGTAGTTTATGGTAGTGAAATAACAGTATCTTTTTGATACAGTTTCTTAATGCTAGATATTCATTTGTGGTTCATCCTGTTCCTAAACTGATCACAGAAATATGTAGGGACAGTGAGATGTGTGGTTATGATTCAAAGCCTTCCTGTGATGTAATTTTGGATTGCAGTTGAGTCAGAACTTTTTATCATTTTTAAACCCTTTCGTCTCACTGATTTTTTTTCAGGGGGAAGAAGTGCTGATGAAATTGTTAATTGGCTTCTGAAAAAGACTGGACCTCCAGCTAAAGAATTGTCTTCGGTGGAAGATGCTAAGAAATTCATTGAAGATGCCAATGTTGCCGTTATTGGATTTTTCAAGGTTAGCAGAGTTCAATTTAGTTCTTGCTAACAGTGTTCTGATGAGAACTTGTACTCAGGAATAAATACATTTTATAGGATACTGCATCTGATGGTGCTAAGGCATTTCTTAGTGCTGCCAGTGCTATTGATGATCAGCCGTTTGGAATTACATCCGATGATGCTGTTTTCTCGGAGTATGGTGCATCTTGTGGACAGATCATTCTGTTCAAGAAGGTAAACTATGTGTTTTTATTACCATGATTTTTGTTGTTTCGATTTTGTTGCTGACAAAACTGCTGTATTTTGCATTTCTAAAGAAGTGTTACATTTCAAAAGATATTGAATTTTGTGATGCATTTAGCAGTGGCTTTCCTCATGTGTAGATAGTATCTAAATTTTTCACTACTTCCATTCCATATAAATGCATCAGCTAAAATTCAGCTCTTAGAATGCGCCCTTTTTAAGTACTTTAGTAAATTCTTTTCAGTTTCGAAAGATTGTGGTGTTTGGTCTTATTGTGGTCTTGGTATGAAGTGTGTGTTTTCGAGTACTCTTGATACGTACTTACATAGCTTCAATGCCAACTGAGAATGTTAACAGGGTATAGAAATCTGCTGTGATGAAATTTCTCAGCTCACTTTGACGTGATGTGAAAAGACATTCC